GCAGAGAGGGGTGCTCACGGGATGTGGGGCGGGTCGAAGGCGGTCTTGATGACACCAGCGTAGATGGCCAGGATGGACAGCACCACACAGGCCAGGAACACCAGGGCCAGCTTGTTGACATACTTGACGCCCACGAAGACCACAGCGGCCATGAGGGCCAGTGTGCACGTGCCATAGACACGCATGTTGTGCAGCATGGCTGTGGCCTCCCCGCCCGTTTTGTCCGCCGGGAAGACCGCCGCACTCGGGGAGATATAAGTCTGCGGGCAGAGGGGTAAGGGCTGCTCAGTGTGCCAATACTGGCCACGGGTGGACCGAGGGGGGCCTGACCATCCACCAGTGCATGGGGGACCGCGGGAGGCCTGACTGTCTGCATGGTGTCAGTGGGTCTGACTGTGCACCGCAGGTCACAGTGGGGACTGACAAGGACCTGACCGTCCACCCAGGCCACGTGGTGTTGGCAGGCCTGACCGTATACCACAGGGCATAGAGGGGTGGGGAGGGATTAAAGGGGGAAGGAGGCAGGCGGGCCCTGTGGTGTCGGGAGGTCACAGGATACACTGTGAACTAGGGTGGTCTGAGGAGAGGCGGTGCAGATGCTCCGCCCCCCCGCCCCGTCTGCAGACACTCACCAGGAATATCTCAATGGTGCCCAGTATGTACATGGCCCCCGCAAACGTGGTGCCTAGGTAGAAGCAGAGCCCGACGGCGCCTCCGAACTCAGGCCCCAGGGAGCGGGAGATCATGTAGTAGGAGCCCCCCGCTGCAAGACAGGGCGGCAGGAAGGACAGGCTGAGGGGCCCTCCTTGCAGGCTGGCCCCAGACTCCAGGGCTGAGGCCGAATGTGGGGAAACCCCAGGCTAGGGCTGAGCCAGCTCGTGGCACGCGCAGGAGGGAGGCAGGGCCCCCCTCCCCCCAGGTAGAGGCCTCGCGACCCACGACACCCCAGGTAAGCTGCCCTACGGGACACGAGGATGCGTCCAAGTCCCCCCATGGGCCCTCCCCATCACCAGAGGGTGCCCAGCAAAGGACACACCCCAAGGACATTCATGTCCCTGCCCCTGGTCACTCAGATGTCCCTGCTCCCGGTCACTGAGGTATCCCTGTTCCCACTCAGGGGTCCCTGCACTGGTCACTCGGGTATCTCTGCATCTCTGGCCATGGTTGTGTGAGGGTCTCTGGTCACCCAACCCCGAGCGAGGGCGGGCCTGGTTAGTCCAACCCCACTGCAGCCTCAGAGAGTAGGTCACCCACAGCAAGTCAAGACCAGCACCAGCCCAGTGCAGGGACCCCATGGCCCAAGGGAAGGAGGTTTTCTTGGGCCCCTAACCCGGGTTCCCCCTGACCTGGCCAGAACTGCCCTGATCTGGGCCCTCTGACTTGGCCAGGCCTGCCCTGACCCCTGCTTCCCTACCTCACTGGCGCTGCCCTGCCCGGACCAGGCCTGCTCTACCTGGGACCCCCGACCTGGCCAGGCCTGCTCTGACCTTTGGCCCTGATCTTTGGTTCCTGCCTGGCTGGGCCTGCGCACCTGGGACCCCCGACCTGGCCAGGCCTGCCCTGCCCTGGCCGGGCCTGCCCTACCTGGGACCACGCCGTTGGTGGCGATGGCACTCATGGAGATGGTAGTCAGCATGGTCTGTGGGGACAAGCAGTATTTCAGGAAGAGCCCTGGCTGGGGACCAGTGCAGGGCTGCACTGCAAATAGGCTGGCGACCATACAGTGCTGCGGTGGCCACGGCTGGGGTTCCAAGAGCTCTCAGAGACCCCGGGCTATACCCTGGATGCAGACCCCACCTCCCACCACCTGGCTCACACCCTGCAGGGATCCCTGCTGCCCAGTGCCCACTGCCTCCGCTCGGGGCCAGCCCCTAACCCACCCACAGGGAAAGAGCCCCTCAGATCACCCCCCAGGGCCAGGCTGTAGTCTGGCGGGCAGGGGCCCATCGACGGGCACGCTCACGCAGGCGCAGCACAGGGACACGATGAGCAGGGACTCCAGCACCCCAGCCACACCAACGATCCAGGTGAGCCTCAGGAAGAGGATGACCCCCAGGATGTTCTGCAGGCAGGGCAGGTAGACGCCGATGAAGGTGCCCATGTGTGGGGTCTGCCAGAGACAAGAGCGGCCGTCAGCAAGTACTGGAGAACAGCTACCGGGCCGTGTTCCTGACCCATGGAGACTCAGAGGGCACCCCAGAGCAGGGTGCCCCTGGAGGACAGGGATGGGGGCTTCCCCATGCTGTGCCCACCCATGTCGGAACTGCCCCAGCCTGCTAGACCCCAGCCCCATGGGGGAGGTGCCTTTCAGACACCCAGTGCCCAGACACATGTGGGCCAAAGTCTCGGGTCAGCGAATGGCACCCTGCATGGAGGAGCCAGAGGGCACAGACCCCCCTCGGAGCGAAGTGTCAGAGGATGGAGGGTCAGAAAACAGGGTGTGTGCATGTGCATGTGCATGTGTTCAGCATGGACAGAGCTTGACCCCCTCAATCTGTGTCTGTGTGTGTGGTCCACGGCGCAACACCTGCCCCTCCCTGCTCTGCATGTGTGCTACATGCCTTTGTGTACAGTACATGTGTGAGCATGCCGTATGTCAGAGCAAGGTACACATCTGTGTGTGTTCCAGGTTGGTTTCCTGTGGGGCTGCAGCACGTGTCTGTGTGTGGGGTGCGTATCTGTGTGTGAGGTGCCTGTGATTGGGGTGTGTGTCTGTGTGTGAGGCACCTTTGTGTGTGTGTGGTGGTTGTCTGCATGCGTGCGTGCACCCGCCCAGACCTGGTGGGGGGGTACCTTGACTTCTTTGCGCCGGCTGTCCTCGGCCTCCTCATGCTCCACCACACCCTGGCTCAGGTTGGTGTAGTTGGCCAGCTTGTTGAGCAGCGAGGACACCATGGGGTTTCTGTCCATCTCCTCCTGTGTGGGGGCAGGGCGCTGACCACTGACGGCTGAGAAACAGTCACTCGACCCGCACCCTCAGTTCGCCTTTCTGCTCATGCCCACTGGAGAGGGCTGGGCACTCATCCACAGGCTCCAAGCCCAAGGTCGGAGGTAGGTGATGGTTCCCCAGGTCTCCTCCTGTTGACCCCCACCCCACCTCAGGCCAGAAGCCCCGAGTACACTGGGCCCAGGGCAGGACCTCCAGCCACTCAGGGGAGCAGCCCCCACGCGGAGTGTGGGATCCCTCATTTTCCTCCATCAGTCGGCCCCTGTGGATGATGCACACTACCTCAAAAAGGGCCATGTTCTTTCCTTCCGAGAACATCTCCCGGTCCACGTCCACATTGCTGATGAAGGGACTGGCTTCCCGGGGGGTCCCATCTCCTGCTGGGAGAGCGGTGGGTGGTCAGCTGCAGGGGCCCTGAGACACTAAAGCTGACAGCCCGGCCCAGGGCAGCAGTGCCATCCAGCAGTGTCCACCCTGGCCTGTCCCCTCATTGTCCGTGAGCTCCCTGCAACCCCAGCAACTCCTTCCCACACCTGTCAGGTACACAGCCAACCTGGGCTGGGCCCACAGCTCATCAGAGATGGGCCCAGGACCCGCCGTCCACTCTCTGGGCACACACAGTAGAATGGGCACACACCACATGGAATGGGGCACTGAGCCACCGCCTGGGGGGAATGCAGGATCCCGCCGGTCCCGTGCAGAGGACCCTCACACGGACCACGTGGCACGGTCCTGGGCCGGGCAGGAAGACCTACACATCAGGCTACTAGAACTCAGGGCCCAGGCGGAACTCAGCATGCAGGCGTGTGCCCGCAGCAGCTCACCCCACAAAGCGCAAACAGGTGACCCCTGGCACGAAGGGGCAGCCCGAGGAGCCCGGCCCTGGAGCGCTCACACGGGGCTGGAGAAAGACGACGCCGGCCGGGGACCCGACGAGGCACTCTGCTACAGGGCCGCCGGAGTGGGAGCGCGTGCGTGGCCACGTGGCCTTCGCCTGGTGGGCGGCGGGGGGAGGGGGGGTTGCAGGATGCGAACAGGCCGCGCGGCTCCGCACCGGCGATGCGGGGTCACGACTGGATTTTCGCGCTCAAGGAACGCGCGGGCGCGGAACTCAAGAACCGTGGCGGCGCTGGCACCCGGACCCACACAATGCGGGGAAGCGCCCGGAAGACAAGAGTCCCTTCCGGCTTCGGACCCCGGGGGTGCGGTCATAGCATCGCGTCAGTCGCTCCTGTCCACAGCAGACACGGGCATGAGCCCGACGGCGGCTCCCGGCGGACGGAGTCCCGCTGAGCGGCAGGCAGAGCTCCATCCGCGGCCGGGCCACCGGGAGGGAGCCGCCCAGGCGCGAGCGGATCCCGGCGCATGCGTACCCGGCCGGCCGCCCCGAGCCTGCGCTCCCGGCGGATCGCACGGCGCATGCGCCCCGGCCGACCACACGGCGCATGCGCCCCAGACAGACCTCAGCGCACACGCGACCCCCGCCGCCCCTGTGGCGCAGGCGCCCCGTTCTAAAAGCCGAAGGAACGGAGGCCCTGGAGCCCTCGCCCCTGGCCTCCGGGCGGAGCCCATGCCTCCCTGGACGCGGCCAGGCTCATGTCCCGTGTGCATACACACGTGCACACGGAGCCCACGTGCGCAGCGGATCGTGTGCAGGGTCACGGCGCGAAGGGGTGTAGACTCGGGGTGCTGCAACAGGCGCCCCCGCGAGCGTGGTGGGGGCCTTCGTTCCTTCCTCCCTCCAGGGACGGCAGACGGGTGGGCAGTGTCCCCGAGCCTGGCGGGGCCCCAGCACTGGAGGGTAGCAGTGCGGGGGCCAGAGCCCACCCCCGCCCCAGGGCCTCGATCCTTGAAGCTGAAACCACAGCTACACAATGGGAAACTGGACCCCACTTCAAAAGAGAAAGTGGGTCGGCCACAAAGCCTCTGCCACCAGAGGACGAAACTGAGAACCTGCCCCACCCAGGGGGAGGCTGGGCTGTGGGGGACCTGGGCTCGGACTCCACAGAGCCAGGAGTGCCGGGGCCAGGCCTGGGGCAGCTTGGGTGGCGCTTAGAAAGCCAAAGCCCCTCCAACCAGCGTCCAGGAGAGCCTCAAAATACTGACAGGGTGGGTCTCAGGGTAAGGTCCTAGAGAATGAGGGGCCAAGAGGTGGGTGGGTGGAGGCTGCTGGGGACCAGAGATCAGTGAGTGTGGAAGGCCAACCAACCGACACCCGGCAGGGGACCAGCCTGCCCCTTAGGTGGCTTGTCACAGGTGAAGTACCCTTCACATGGCCCCACCCACTCACTGCAGGAGGTGCTGCCCAGTAAGGGGGACGCAGGACGCTTCTGTCCCCTCAGCTACCTGCCAGAAGGGTTCTCCACTCCCCTAGGGGCCACCCTGGAACATTCTAGAACTGCAGTTTTCAACCTGGGGGTCGAACAACCCTTTCACAGGGGTCGCCCGATTCATAACAGTAGCAAAATTACAGTTACGATGTAGCAACGAAAATAATTTTAGGGTTGGGGGGTCACCAAACATGGGGAACTGTATTAAAGGGTCACGGCATTAGGAAGGTTGAGAACCACTGTTCTAGAGGCACAGATGGCCAAGGCTGCAGACACCTGCCGGCCCCACAGCTTCCAGCCTCCCTCAGAGGATCCAGAATCCAGACCAATCTGGGCCTGGACACAGCACAGCCGCTAGCCATGGGCAGAGGCACAACACGGACACAGCCCATCACCCCTCTGTGACAGTCGAACATCAGCCTGGCCAGGCGGGAAGGGCCAGCTCTAGAAACTTCTGAGAAGGCACCTCTCACCCCAGCAGTGCCTCAGTCGCCCTGTACTTCCAATGCTTCCTCTCCCCACAAACCACTTCATGGAGCAAACAAACCCCCTCCCTCCTCTCCCGTTACCTGAGAGACAGAGCACCATCCACTCTGCGGTCACTGAGCCCAGAGTTTCCTCCCAAACTGCCCTCTGCCCTGTGGCACACACAGCTCTCAGCTCAGCCAGGCCACCCAGCGTGTTGCCCCCCAAGCCCTGGACCTGCCCTAGCCGCCTCAGCCAACACATGGAAGTGGTGGAGAAGGGACAGGGTAGGCCAGCTGTAGAAATGGTCTCCCCAGCGGGGTCTGGCTGGAACCAGCCACAAGGTTTCAGGCTGGGGTCAGCTATAATTCAGGAGCAGCCTCCTGGGAGGAAACCTGAGCCCAGGGCAGTCACAGCTCCACTTCCCTGGCCCCCCAATGTGGGCTGAGTTCTAGTTCCCCACCTGAGGTCCAGTGGCCGGGGGAGGCCTCCGTGCTGACGAGGATGGTACGGAAGATGCTGAGAGGTCCTTCGAAAGGGTGGAACCCTGGGCCTGATGCAGCTCCCAGCCTACAGTGAAAGTCGTACCCCCTTTTGGCATTCCAATGGGGCGGCCCCAGAAGACAGAGTCAAGGCTGAGCCCCAACCTCATGCACAGACCTGAGGGTAGCAGGTGGCCAGCTAAGCTTGGGGAGCGAGGCTCTGAGGCCAAAGGGACAAGGAGCCTGTGGGTGTCCACCCACCTCATCTGGGGTCACTCAGGCATCTACAACAGCCTCCTGGGAGGACCCCACCCGAGGGGCAGGGGGTAATGGGCCAGATCACAGGGACTCAGGGCACCTGGGGCCAGCACTGCCCATGCCTGCATCAGATGAGCGATGGTGTCCCCACTAGCCACAGGGCCTGCCGCTCGAGGCCACCAACAGGCTCAGAAACACTTCACGACATCACTGTGAGCTGATCTGCCGGCAGCGGACTCGGTTGGATGTCGGTTGTTGTGGGGG